AAACAAAAACAGCACATAATTAACTAACAGCATGCAAATATATATCATCTATACAGAAAATGTAAATATATGGATAGCACTCTATAAAATAATGTATTTTATTACAATTATCCCCACATTCAAAGAAGTAAACAGAATTTTATTTTTATATAGGAATTTCATGCACTTCAGTTACTTCAGTGTTAAATGCATTAATGCAGTGTTTCACAAATGCAGTGTTCACGGTGTGTATGAAAACACATAAACACGTAACACATTTCCTACCAAAAGCTTTAAATTAGAACTGCAATAAATAACACAAGATAACTAAAAACAGTTAAAACTCGTCTACTATTTTCTCTGAGTGAAAATTATTTTTCCTTTTAAAAACAAGATGCTATATAAGAATCATAACTAGTTTCAAACATAGTCGTTAAATATTAGTATGTCAACTGTGCACTTACTCGTGAATTTTAAAAACAATTAATGTAAAGCTGTAGTTAATACATGTTAGTGATATTACAACAGCTAAGTAAGTATAAGATCACAACAACTCGATTTACTTGATAGAATATAATGCATTCATAATTTAATCCTGGTTTTCTCAATTTATGCTTCTTTTTAATAATAAAAATTTATTGCACCTACATTACCTCAAATTAAAACTCATCCTGAAATACAGAAACAGAATGGTATTGATTAAAGACTTCAAAAACTTTTATCGTAATGAAGTTAATAAAATATGCAAAGACACCTCCCACAAATAAGTCAGTGGTACAAATTGAAAAGCATGATGCTTGCAGACAGACCTGCTTAATATAGTACGTACAGACTTGTACAGGCTCGGGGCTTTAGCATTTTCAGCATCTCAGCAATCAATACATTGGAATCAAATATATGTTGGAAAATATATCTCCATTTAATTATCCATTGAAAGAACATTTATCTGGGATGTTCCAAAAACCAGCTCCTTAAGTGGTTGTTTTCGTCATCTAAGAGGTTATATTTTAGGATTTTTAATTGATAACTTGGAAAGAAAATTCTACTTTGTCAAAAAAATGTTTTTGCTTGATAATGTGTTTATTAAAAAAAATTACAACTTGGATCAACAGGTATGGAGAGTTGACTGGCACAATATTGTATGACTTTTTACAGCTGCAGGACTGTAATGTATATATAATCAAGTTAAATGTTTAAACGTTTATCAAATCAAATTTTCCTTGCTCTTATTGCTCAACTGTGTCTCATGCCCATTTATTGTCCCTCGGATCTGAGAAGATCTACTGGTAGTGATTGCTAGATCTCCTTAGTTCTTGGAAGCAGTCCAGCCCACACTGGAAAATACTGCTTTGTATCAACATAACAAGCACATTTACGTGATCTTACCATTTGAGCAATTCATTCATGTGCAAGATTAGAATGTACATGATTATTAAAATGATTATTTTTCATAAAAATACAATTTTCATCCTTGTTCAAGCATATCCCACCAGTGACTTTGTGATTCAGACCACCGAATGCTGGTAGTTTTGCTCAGGTTTGAACCTAGGATTAATGGGTTCATTGTGTGGGTGCTTTTCTTCATGTGAAATGGAAATATGTGCCAGTTTCTCTTAGAAAATCCTCCATAAAGGCATACTTCCACTAAGGTAAAAAAAAAAAAAAATTAAAACCTTGGCCCATCAGTATATAAAAATTTACAAAGCTCAATTATATGCAGCCATTTGAAGACTAATTTTAAGGGAAAAAATTTGAAGATTGTCAATATATTATTTCATTATTTATCCAGTCATTATATTCAAAACACAGCTAAAACACATTTCAACATATATTTCTTTATTACCTGCTAAATACAGATAATTTATTTTTTTAAATTTTAATTTTTATGTGTAATGGCGGTGCAGTAAAATCTTGCTTAAATAAAATACAGATGCAAAAAACTACTGAAGCATTCGATTTTGAAAAGCAGTTATTTTCAATGCTTTTAAATAGATCACTTTTCCCTGCTCTCCCTCCAACTGCTTCAGTCTAATGCAAGGATTTTCAATTAATGAGAAATTTTTCCCTAAAGGAGAAAGTGTTTGCACCACATAAAATTTGAGAACTACAGACCTAAAGAGTTCATACATGCATTATGATGAAAATATATAAGCTACCAAACATTTAATCTTGCATACCAAAACAGCGAATAATACTCAGTGTAAAAGGTGACTTCACATACCTGTGTTCATTAATGAATTGTACTAATTAAAATTTATACTGTACTTAAAAAACACTTAACTGCAATACTACTAACAATGAAAACATAAAAGATAAGCATAAAACATTCTGCAGAAGAATAACTAAGTAAATTCTAGCCATTTCATAATCTTAATAATATAATAATAATAATAAAATAAAATAAAAAAAAAACTTATCAATGGCAACTACTAATGTTATACCAGAAGAGGATTTCTGAAATTGGAAATTCACAATTTCTTTAGACATTTAAATAACATATTATTAATTTTCAGGAAGTGCTTTTCTGGTTTCATTCATGGCACAATGATTAAACAGTTTAAAGTAATAATAACAACATTCTGGTACTGTTGCTGTTGTGACTTATCTTACTTGCCTAAGAGTAACATCAGAACAATCTCATGATATTCATCATAGCAAGGAGTGCAAGATTGTTCCTGTCATTGGAAAGAGCCTTGAGCGCACAATACAGGTGACCGTACGGCTTTGCTCAATTCTGTCCCCAATTTTGATGGAGAGCACACCAGAGGGCACATGTCCAAGAGCCTCCCAACCCACCTCTCGAGAGGATTTCTGGCTCACCACATATTTAGAGTGCCCCCTTACCACACATACGATACATTATGAACATTCATGCCTTCTCCGGGATTCGAACTCAGACCCTTCGGTACAGCAGTCAGCGCCACTAACTGCTATCCCAGTTTGTCGGCTTCTGGTACTGTTTTCTATAATATCTAGTCCATATTATTTCTTTAATACACTGATACTTCAGTTTGGCTCAAGATCATCAGCATGTCAGATATGATATAAACCTTCCATCATCATCAGTAGATATGAGCACCTAATAACAAAGATTCATTTTTAGTGTAGTGCGTTATTCAGTTTGTATATGAATTAAAATTAGAATCCACAAATGGTCACAATAAAGTTTGTTTCTGATTATCCTCACTTGAAAAGTGAAAACGTGAAAAGTATTCACAAAACAATATGCTATGTTTCTAAATCAGGTAGACTATGACATTGACAGGGATGGCAGCTGCAACAGAGGTGGTAGTTAGGCCCAGCAATTATTAGTATTATTAAAGAATTTAGGAAAGTACTGGGCAGCAGAACTTAATAAAACATTGAGACTGCATAGAGTATCAAAGAGTCTACAGTCGACTGCGGAGATCACCAAAATGTATTTATGTTGCAACCCAGGTATGTGTACTTGCACAGTAGGGAAGCACAGATTTCCATCTCCAAATTCGTTAGCTATTAGCATTTGTTTTTCTTGTAATGAACGTATTTTTTCTCCTAATAAGTACAGTACAAAGTCCGTAATCCGGACTCGTCAGGACTTCAGCGATTCCGGATTAGGGGTTTTTCCGGATTATAGATCATCAAATTAAATCTGGTAAGATGGCACGCAGAAATTAAAAATAAATAAAGAGCAATTATGATCTAAAAGGTATTAAAATTTACACAAAAACAAAAAAAAAAAAAAAAAAGAGTAATATTTATTTGTTTACTTTTTTAAACATTTCTTTCAATGTAACTTTCTTCACTATCGGAAGCGCTCATGGGTAAACGCTTTACTGGCTTTACACGCATGCGTAAGTTTGTGGTTTTGAGGTCCGGATTATAGTCATTCCAGATAATGGACGTCCGGATTACGGACTTTGTACTGTAATTGTAATGGGACTGTGGAGTTTGCAAGCTAATGAAAAAGAAAGCAAAATTTGAGTAACTTTGATTTTTTTCTAGTGTACATGGGGAGAACAATAGTGCAAAAAGATTACACAATGATTTCTTCAGAAAGGCAAGTGCTTTACCACAGATGTTTCTTGCTTTTTAAATTTTACTGATTTATTGCAATGTTATGGAATTCTTAGGGCAGTACCATTTTCAAAATGGTTGTAGCCATTTGCATATTATCTCGAGAGAAAGTTAGTCACTAATGGGATATCAATTTTTTTTTGGGGGGGGGATGGATGCTGCAGATAATCAGAAAGTACTACAGTTTTCAATTTTTCCTTACTACTGTTTACAGCAAGCAGAATATTTTCTATAACAACATCCACTGCAGCAAGATAAAGATAACTTTTATTTCCTCAGAATGCCTTAATTTTCAGCTTATTTTAAAATAAAATATGGTGCTATAATTTGACCTGAGGCTGCAGCCTAGAGATATGTAAAGAATGATATATATAGGCCTAAATAATCATATTTTGTAATAATAACAATTTTTTGTTATTTCATATATTAAAAAATAACATAACAAAATTAATTAACATAAATTCTGAAAGCCACCCAAGCTTGAATGTTTCCAAATACTATTGGCAATATATCTTCTTGTATTTATTTTTTGGGGTGTATCCAAGCATGTGGCTTCATTCTGGCCAAAAGTCGGTTTCTTATCCATTAATCACTGACGGGTAACAGAAAAACTTTGCCTATTTCTCTTGGTCAACATGAAGGTTAATACACACATTCCAGTTTCAAAGATGATAATCAACACAATTTGGGAAACACTGCACTATACATGCATAATTTCGAAATCACTGAATGGTAAAGGAGTTTTCATTTTTAAAGGTATGCCCCCTTTTATTCCCTTTTCTCTGATGCAGTACGATAAATCTTGTTTCATCATATAAAATTTAAGGAAAGTGATACCTCTTGTCCGTTTACAGAACTTTAAGCAAGCAGCAAGTTTTCTGATAACTGTTGAGCATCCTAAAGAACTGACTTTCCCATGATGCAAAGGGAAAAGCTGCTCAGCAGAGTGCATGATCCATACTCACCTTGAGTGCATTTGCACTCATCAGATTCAGTGCAGCAGCGCACTGTTGTTGCTGCTGCAGTTGTTGCTGTTGTGCCAGCTGACTGTACAGAAGACCACTTACCACTGCAGTAGGCAATTGGCCTGTGAGAAGCGGCTGTAGAGGAATTTGCTGCAGCAGAGCATTCTTCAGGGCAAGGTGATTACGACCATTAATGAGCAGCTGATCTTTCAGATGTTGTGGAGGGTGAAAATATTTGCACGGTGGCTTTTCACGGTTACATCTTCCCTAAAAGAAAAGAAAAAAAATTACTCGTCATGAAAAATAGAACATTAATGTAAACTACTACTTTTAAAAAAAAAAAAAAAAAAACCATGATAGTTACCACTGAGCTTGCAAAATAACTCTGTTAATTATTGCATGCTCTTTAATTTTTACAAACTTCCCCCCCTGACATTAACTGTAGTTTGGACACATGCAAGGTGTTTATTTTAACCAGACCCAATGATAGGCTTTGATATTTTAATTTATTGTTTAAGTATTTCTTATTTATTTAATATAGTAGTTTATTTACATCTTTATATTTCATTTATTTATTTTTGTTCCTATTATTTTTTTTGTTCCTGCGTGATGTCATGCATCGTCACATATCATGGCTTCATTTTCATTGCAAGGAACATACTGGTAAAAGAAATGAACCGTATATGACAAAACTTCCTCCGAAGCAGTCTGGATTTCAAAAAAATATCTCTACGACAAAGCAATTAGTATGGCTCTGTGAGTTTATTGGATCTGCACTGTTTAGGAATCAAAGTGTCGCCTTACTCATGCTAGACGTGGCGAAAGCCTTCGACCGCGTCTAGCATGAGAGGCTAATTTTCAAGCTCATCTCTCTTGACTTTAGCAGAGACATGATTTAACTCCTTTATAAGAAATTGCAAGTTTTTCGTTAGTTTTGGAAACAAGTACTCAGAAGCTAAGCATTTGAATGCTGGGTAGCTCAAGGATCCATTCTAGGACCCATTTTGTACTTATTTTATGTGGCAGATTTCCCTAATATGTGTAAAGGTATTAACTCGTACCTGGGTTATTATGCCGACGATACGGCACTGGCCATTAAGTCGCAGTCAAGAACATGCATTAGACAAACTTCGGGAAAAAACACCAGCCATCGAACACTGTTGTACAAAATGGAGAATCGCAATTAACGGTCAAAAGTCACAGCTAATTATTATTGGGGAAAAACACTCTAGAATACCTCTTGACAGGAAAATCAAATTCTTGGACGTGGAAGTCCCCATAATTAAAAAGGCCACATACCTTGGAGTGGTTTTAAATAACAGATTCAATTGGAAGGATCATATCCAAAGTGCCCAATGCAAAGCCGCTGCTGCAATTTAAAACCTCATCCCGCTTATAGGAAAATCTTCAAAATTAGACCTGAGAAGAAAATGTCACATTTATACTGCGATAATAAGGCCAATCTTCTCATATGCATCCCTTGCTTAGGTGACCTACTCACAAAATGATAAGAAGCTCCAAATAATGCAAAATAAACTTCTCAGAATAATTACCAATATGCATTTTTATGTTTCAAATGAGACCCTTCATAGGGATCTACATATTGAAAGTGTGGAAGAATTTCTACATCGATCGAACAGAACTTTCTTTGATAAAGCAAGATTGTTTTTGCTGAGGACTCTAACATCAGACTACTTGCGGCCTTCCTCACCCGTGACTCTAATTTTCAACTTAATCAGATTAACAGTGCAACATCATTGTACATATAGGTGTCTTTATGTTATCTCATCTTACTTATTTTGCAATGTATTTCATATTTGATTTGTATTCATATTATGTATCTTAGTATTTCTTGTAGTTAATAAAATGTATTATGTATTGTGTTTTCCTTATTCCCCATCAACTCTTCATGAACAACACTTAACAAATCAGATTACCAACTTTGTCTTCGTCTCTCATGGTCTTTGGCTTTAATCTGCTCGTTTTTCTCACTTGTGATGTAGTCACCCTCTTCTTCCCAATTCCAATCCTCCTGCTACCTGGTCCTGACATTATACAGTCATGCGCCCTCTGGGCTAAAGTGTCAAGAGTCGGACACATTACGTAACAACAAGATTCCGGCAACAGCGATAATGAATTAATGAACATACGAGGAAGGCTTACTCCATCTATTCTAATCTCCTTGGTTAATTATGCAAACAGTTACATCAAAGTTCAAATGAATTTGGGGGGGGGGGAAGGTAATCAGCAATAAATTTTATGTTTATTTGTGTTACCATTTATAATGAATTTTTTCATTTGTCTACGATAATGATTAAAATATTAAAAAATCACATCTATATCTATCATACAACAAATAATAGTTCACCACAATATGGTAATACCATTCAACTCAAATACATATTCTTTGATTCAACTGTCACGAAACAGCGAGATTCAGCGCCAAGTATGGATAAGCATAATTGGCACTAAATAACATTTGGCCTTCGGATTAATATAGTTAGATTTGCTTTTATCAACAAGGATATAAATTAACTGTTCCTGTTATGTATTTCTTCATTCCAGTTTTGGGGGGGATATATTAACATTTAAGTACTGCCTTCCAAAGAACAGCAAGCAGGATATTAGCTATAATATACTAGCTATAAAAACCGGATATTAGCTATAAAAAAAATGTGTATTAATGGACATGGTACGGTCAATTGATAATGGCTGACATAACAGTAACGGACTGGAACAACTACTGCGGAAAATTTGTAGTCTCTGTTTCCAAACAGGTAAAATCAGAGGGTTTAACAAAATAGTGGAAATCGATTAAAGTCTTTTTACAAAACACAAAATTGAAGCGGGTTGTATATTAATTGTTTTTTACATAAACAGGCATGTTCCTTGAAAATTCTGTAGTGCCGCTGGCACATCGGCATGATCTGCGCAAACTTTCATGGTTTGATAGTAGGCCATGATGGTAAGGGCGACAGGATAATACATATGTATCTAAAAATTTTTCTGATCAACTACTGGCGATCATATTTAGACTACTACATAATTAGAAGAAATTTCACTTAACATCAAATTACTGACGTCCGCTTCACATACTATAATTTTTAAAAAATGAAATTTTAAAATGATTTTTTTCTATTAAATTATTTAATGTAACTTTCCTTCATAAAATTCCAGCTTCTGTGTGATGAGTTAGGGAATTTCTACAAAACACTTACAGCTTTAGGACTTCTGTGAAGGAAAAGTTATATTTTTAGGTGCAACAGAGTTTAACGACTATGTTTTAAATCAAGATTACCACTTAACTGGAAAAATTTTATACCTTATATTGTATATACACAGATTTCATAAGTATCACACTCATAAAAAGATTGGCATCAAAATTAATTTCAGCAGTAATAGCCAATGGAAGGGAATCTATGTAATTCTGGAAAACAGCTTTTTCTTGTATTCCTGAAATTCAGTTAAATTTAGGAACTTCAATACCCTAGGAAGACTAATTTAGGAACTAGTTTGAATTTCGGAAGAGCACTTTAAATTCTGCAGTGCATTTTAATCTCGGACTCCAAATCAAGAAAGTTCTCTGCTCACATTATGTCTGCGCCACTATTTAACATCTATAATCCTGCATTAAAGAAGACAAGAATGACAGGTACAGCTGCAGCCCTGAAATAAGATAACTCTTTTAAGTTTTCAAAAAGTTTTTCTCGCTGAGCCGTGACGCCATTTCAAAAGAATTCCAAACTGACTTAAATTCACTTTATGATGAATGACTGGTGTCACTAAAATATTATTTATAACACGAGCCTTATATTAATAATTATTGGAAACTCTAAAAATATTATTAGATAAAAAATTATTATTAGATATTAAATATGCTAATACTTAATTAGATATCCTAAATTTCATGTTCTTTGCTAATTTCAATTTATAATCTTGCGATTTTATGCACAGGAAAGTGATACTTATTAAAGTACTTTTAAATACGATGGAAACTAAAGTAAAAATAAATAAATAAAAAAAGGGGGGGAAATCTGAGAGCTTTCAGATTTTATATTACACCTAAAAGGGCTTTTCACCCCCCTTTATTTATTAAATATTATGGTCTTCACATTTAAACCACACAAAATTCAATTAACAGCAATATCACAAAATATTTAAAAACAGCATAGCTTTGGAATTTCCAACACACATTCTCGAGCGCTGGAGATAAAATTCTTCCCCCCCCCCCCGGTACAGTGCTGCCATTGCTTGCTTTGAAATTGTTGAGTTTGTTAATCAAAAGTTCGTTAAGGTTTTACAAAATTTGAACTAGGTAATACAGTACAAAGTCCATAATCTGGACTTGTCGGGACTTCGGCGATTCCGGATTAGGGTTTTTTTCCGGATTATAGATCATCAAATTAAATCTGGTAAGATGGCATGCAGAAATTATACAATTAAAAATATGAAACCGTAATTTATGAAATAAAGAGCAATTATGATCTAAAGTGCATCAAAATTTACCAAAAAAAAAAAGCGTAATATTTATTTGTTTACTTTATTAAACATTTCTTTTAATGTAATTTTCTTCACTATCGGAAGCGCGCATGGGTAAACGCTTTACTGGTTTTATGCACATGTGTAAGTTTGTGGCTTTGAGGTCTGGATTATAGATCGTTCCGGATTATGGTCTTTATACTGTATAACAAATTCAAAATTCAGGCTTCCAAGTGCCTATGTTCGGTTGGAGGACTACATTATTCAAAATTTGATGGCCCTTTTGTTTCACAATGTGAAAAACATTTTGTTTGGTATAGCATAATATTTGGTGGCAACAGTTTGAAAAGTGAACAAATGCAGAAACTGAAAGGAAGCAAAAATGCAGTTTTGAGAGTGATACCACTTTAGGTCTAATTCCTCTTTGGCCTAATAAATAATATACTTATTATTCTGTGGATAAATTTAATAGTGTACCATATATTAATATAACATAAAACTAAGATACGAATATTAATGACTAAAGATTAACTGTTCCTTCATAAAAGTGCTACAAATGTCTACAATACATTATGTGCTGAAAATCACCATGTGTGGAGAAAGGGAATTTTGTTCAACTTAAGTTTAATTAATTCGATTAATTTCATTTATTGTCAGGGAACATATTCTTAGTAAAACATGAAAACTTCTGGGAAATTCCTTCTGGGATTTATCAGGAAGATGTGATGGGTGTCAAACTATGCATAAGGATTCAGCAAACTAACATTTTATTTACTAATTTTTCATAC